ATTAGTAATAAGCATTTAGTGGAAAATCGTTATAATAAATACTACTCTATCTTTTGCAATCATAACACAAACTGTAAACTTAAAAGTTAAAACAAGGAAGAAAACAAGCGTTCTTAAGTAGTAAAACGACTTAACAATATTGTGGACTATGTTGGGGTTGCAAGACATTCATTCCTATGTTTGGAGAAAGATGAGATGTTTGTACAGGAGGGATTTAATAGAGATAAAGGAGGCTTTGCGGATTGGAAAAGGAAGATAATTCCGTTGTGGCTCGATGTAGATGAGCTAGGTCTCACTCGAAGATGACAGGGTGTTATGAGAGTGGATAGAAGTTTTGAATTTGAAATAGCTCGAAAATATAGTAAAGGCCACGAAAATTTATGGATTGGTAAAGAAAGTTGTCTAGGTAATAATTCCTTAATAATTCAAGGAAGGAGGGATCGGTCTGAGTCTCGGTAAGACTCCGGATATTCGGTGGGTCTAAAATAAGTTGAGACAACAGTTCATTAGTTTCAGACTTTTCTTGTTCCTCCGAAAGTCCTCCATAAGCGACACAACTGAAGTCGAAGAGGGGAAAGATGAGAGAGGAGACAAGAATGTTGAAAGGTGGATGGAGTCCGGACCAGATCTAAAAAAATCATCGAGTAGTTAACAACACGCTTGCGGTTAATTGACAGATTGCTTTCATATAGTCAAAAATGGCCGTATCTAAAATAACTTAGAACATTAAGGAAGGTGATTTTTTGTTACAAATAATCCTGCCACATGTCTTTGAAACTCCTTTGCTTCCTTTTATTTTATCTTTCTTTGTTTCTAATTTCTTTATACATTCAGAGTTGGGTGAAAATGTTGAACTCGTATAACAAGAAAATTGCCAAGATCTACCTTCGTTTTAAGTCGAAAGTTTTTCCCTTGTTCAATTTCGGTTTCGACGTTTATGTCAGAAATCTGAGACTGATAAATCTGGAAATTTCCATTTCACGACATTTGGAAAAAAATGTGATCTGTTGTCTCTTTCTATTCAAGGGACTGTCGGCATCTGTAGATTGTTCCATATTGTAAAGTGGTATTTTACTGCACCATGTCTTGTAATAAACCCGTTAGAAGTTATAGTCACTTTCTGTTGAGAAGGAATTGACCCTTGACTTGTTTTAGTGAGTAGTCAATTGGCTTGGCTAATGGTCGAAATACGTTCCCAGTATTTGATGTGTTCTTTAATTCAAACCCACGATTACATTCCTTTTTATGGTGGCTATAGTTTTAGGTGTTGTTTTTCGTTTATGCTTAACACATTGCACGAAACGAATCATGTGAGGTAATGCTGCCTTAATTTCTTATATTATATTGGACTGAGAAAAAATATATACTCCAAATTTACATAACCTTTAATATTACATACAGTGCATAAGTAGTTACATCTTATTATACGTGCATTACCATCAGCTTACAGCCCACTTCACTTTTATTGTAAATGAATTCATTTTTAATGAAAATCTTTGTTTTAAAATAACCCTCCGTTTTTTTATATAAATATAATTAACTAAATAAAACTTTTTCCCATCTTGCTGAGTAAATTTGAAGGAAAATTTTTAACTATTTTCTGTGTTAAGCACTTTTTATATCTTTTGGCTTTCCTGTGTTTTGTTGAATTTTCTTCCAAGCCAATATAATTAAATTTTTTAATTAAAGCATAAGAATTTCTGATCTCGTTTAATATGGTTTGCATTAAAGTATGTTGTAATTAATATAATGATGAAAACATATATGGTTTGAAATAAATAATAAAATACGTGCGTTCGTTTTTTGGCTTTGAGTATATAATAACAAATATTACGTTTAAAATAAAAAATAGCAATTATTATAATTAAATTTACTTTGAATCACACAAAACCAACTGTAGAAAAAGATTTATATTCCTGCTGATTAAAAATATTGAATAAACGTTTGTGCAATTATTGAATATTTCTGTTTTAAAATATCTATTAATTTTTTTAAGAATACAGAAAAAGATGAACCTGCAAAATTGGAAGATTTTCTCCGCGTTGATGAAACTGTAATTTGGATGTGATGATTTTTGTACATCTGAAGATGGCGAGATGCCCAAGTGTATTACAGGCAAACGCAAATTACAAACGTAAAATTGGCAACGCCTCAATAACCAAGGCAATTGTTACACACAAAAAATGAAGTCCATGTGATGATTCAATCCTTTAAAACCTTTAATTATATGATAAAACAATTCAAATGGTACTTATTTGAAATGCTACCTGTAATAGATAGCAGTAAATAAATAACATAGTTTCACAAAATCTTTGGGCAGTTTTGTTTAGCCAAAGTTGAACAACTTACTCGACATGAAGTAAATTAATATTCCTCATCCTTAGTTAATGAAATTACGCTGAAGTCACGGTGATTTATGCATTATTTCCGTTTAATGAATATACAACACAATAAATTTAAACATTTAGGTTTTTGTAGTCCGGTCGTTGCCGAGCATCCAGAATTCTTTGTTGCTTTGAAGTGAGACGTGTTTAGACATTTTCCTCCATTCGGTGGCTGGTTTCTGTCAAAAGATGTTTGACAGAGTAAAACATGTACGGGTAAGATCAAAATACAGATTCGCACCGCAAATCTCGGCAAGTAATGTCGATTGTTAAGGTTTTGTATATAAAATTTAGTTTTTCGCCGTTATCCAGTAACCCTGACCAAAAAAAATGTATGAAGTAAGTACTACACGCTCTTCCAGATTCAGTAGTATGTACAGAATATACTAAAAAAAAATATGGACAAGCACAAAAGATTTATAAAAGTAGGCGCCATCTGAATACGATTTGCATTTATATTTTAATCCTAACACTAATTTTGAATTGTTTATATAAATTATCGTAAAAAATCGATTTGACTATGACTTAGAAAAAATAACGTGAATTTGATTATAAATTTGCACTTTCTCTAAAAAATTCTCTATTAAATAAATTACAAAGTTAGAAAACTACCATGTATGGAAATATCACAGAATCTCAGCACGTTTAGGTCGTTATGTGTAAACATAAAGAACAGAAACTAACTCAGTCTAGTTATCAGTCAGAATGATACCTGGCCGGTTAAGAACCTGAAAGAAACCTTGGCATATTGCCTCTCTCTAGTCTTGTACATTGTTATGATTCCATTTGCTGTACATTTATCATACGTAATGGTATGAGTCAAAGCTAGGGTGGGTGTTCAGCTAGTGGAAAAAGATTGCTCGATGTGTGTCTCATTCTTTCGCTCATTATAAGAGCGAGTAGAAATGCCACCCAGCGTGGGACATCACACTGAATTCATCGAATTCGGGACATTACGGTCTCTAACTTTCCCTGCTGAAGTTGCACAACACAAGCACCGTCGAGTTTCGCCAGGATCTAATCGGAGCAAATTCTGCTTCTGCATTCGCTGCTGAACTTTACTGTGTGGAAACTGTGTTGCCTCTTTCGCTTGGCTATCTTAGGAGGAGTATCAGTGATGCTCCATGTGTGCAAATGTTGCGGGGTTTAACGGGAGTGGTGCTGTAAGCATGGTATGGTAGAAAAGGATACTAGGAAGCGGGGTTTGCACTCCCCGGGCACTGCAGCCTTCTGGCTTATTGTACCTTCCCAGTTCCCTAGTTTAGTCAATAGACTCAATCCTTCTTCTCAGAAGCATCAAGTCATTGACTGTTATTGCTGCAATTTGGTTCCCTGTGTCTTTTTCGTACGCTAGGTTAAACCTCCATTGAGCTGTTGCTTCGCATTCGAAGATGATATGAGTGGCTGTTTCCTCCTCCTCATTACATAATCTGTAAGCATGGTCTGCATTTCACTTCACCTTTCCCCACCCAGTAGTCGTAACGCACCATAATGAGACGTAGTGAGTCGTTATTTTATACATCGCATAATTGGGACGCTTACTACTTTGTTCGAACCCCGTATAACTGCGAGGGACGACGGGAAGCGAGTGCATCCGTTACCGGTGAGCTCAGCCATTACTGTACTGTGTAATCTCGTGGGTTCAGATTTTAGACTTTTGTTCTAGTTCATAACTGGCCCTAAAAACCAGGATTAGCAAGAGTGATTACAATTTTTGTTGTAAATTACATGAAGGAATTATTGTCCCCTCCTGGTGATTTGTAGGTATTAAAGGTGCTTATTGCCTTTAGTGACTGCGGGTTTTTTTGGTTGCCCTGAGAAGGTTCGGTGTTGTTTTGTAGTATTGAGTTGATTCATCGAAAGAGGTTCGTGAGTGTGTGTCGTTGGTTGTGGTCATTGACCGTGAGAACCGTTGGCAGAGGTGAGTCGGTTGATTCTGCAGCGGTTGAAAGGATTCTGGTGCAGCAGTTGGCCAGTAGCCAATTCGGCAGTGTTGAGAAGGCGTGTTTGAGGCTAATGCTGCGTAGTCGTTGCTTCATTAGTGATTGGCGAGAGCTCGTAAAGTAGACGAGTCTGACTGGCGTTGGCGAGAGCTCGTCGAGTAGACAAACCTGAAGTCAGTTGAGCTGTGTCCCTGCTTATGTGCGAAATGGCTCTTCTCTGGTTGGCTGCAGAGTGGTGGGCGAGCCTATTCCAGAACTATTGGTGACACCTAGCGGGGAGAACTGTAGGTGATCTCCGCATTGCCCATTTAACTTTGTGAGGAGTTAATATTTTGCCTGAAAGGTTTCTTTCCATTTTGAGCATTTGGCAGCATTTACTCGGTTCCTTCCAGGTCTCCTCACTGCCTTCCACACATTTATCCTTTGAGTAGTAGACCGCATTTCTTCTAGAGTGGTGAGTTTGATAAGGTTAAAACTGTTTACGATGGAGGATGAAATGTCTTCACGATCCAATATTTACGGGAGTCTAAATTCTGAGGTCTGACACTGGCTGTCAAGAATAATAGAGTAGATTCACACGCCTTGTCGTAAAGTCTTATTCCTAATTATTTTCTAATACATAATGCAATTTATTTTATAGTGTGATATGTGATTGAAGTGTTTTCTTTTGCAGAAAATAAGCCACGTTGAGCAATGGCTTCCACAACCCAAGAAGTTGTCGGTGCAAATTCAGGCTATGGATCTGGGGACGAAACGTCAAGCCTACTGGCCAAGGCTGCCAAACCGGTTCTTATGCGTCAAGACTGCACGACGACGCTCGTGGTCTCGCCTACCCCGCACCTCTCCGCCTCCGGGGGCTTTATGGGGGCGAGCGACGAAAGCGGCGTGCTGCCCCCGGACGAGGGCGGCGCCCGATCCGTGCCCGACATCGAGATGCATTGCCGTTCCCGCGGGCCGAACCACCTCGCGCCTCACAGGTGCAATTGCGAAAGGCGTAAATCCTCCGGTATGGCGCGTTCTGTCTCTCGAGAGAGCGTCAGATCGCAGCATCCTCCTCAGCCTCCGCCGGTACTTTTGACGACGGCACCGAGTTCGAGGATAATCAGGCAAAGTTCTCAGCCTGAAGCGTGTCACTGCTGTCCCCATCACAGCCCTGCACCGAGTGCTTCTTTGCGACAGCTTCGGGAGCCTGGAGACGGGATCGCCATGATCGCGGCTGATTCTCTCAGAATAAATGGTGCCATCCGTCAGTTCAAACAGGTGAGGATGATTTATTATTATGACAAATTAACCGTGGGCCATTTTTCCATTTGCCGGACGATTTGACGCACTTTTAGTGAAATGCAAACTATATTTGGCTCTGTTAGCCTGTCAACAAACAAATTAAAAAAAAAAAAAACTTTCAGCTGCTGAAAGTCTTATTTTTAAACGACAAAAGACAAATTAATTCACAATCGTAAAAGTAACTTTAAAAGATACTATTTCAATCTATTGCAAAAAGCGCTCGACAATTTTTTTAATTTAGTATATTTCTGTGTAAAGATATTTATATATATACTGATAGGCAAAAAATTCCACCCACTTGTACTATAATTTTATATATTTTTTTATATTAACGAAAGTTTCACGTTTTTTAACGTTTAATAATTGAGACTTTTTCGAAAAATTAAAAAAAAAGTAAATTGCTAAGGAAAATGAAAAAATTAAAAAACAAAACAAACGGACACATAAAATTTGTTTTAATTTTTAGATTTTTAATTAACACTTCAATATCGCGTATTTCTTCCTCTTGCCTTAATTACATCTCGAAGATACCTCCGCATTCTTTCTACAGTCTGGAAATGTCTCTTTGCTGGAGGTTAGCCCTTCTTCATGAAGAATCCTTTCAGGATCGTGGAGTGTATCAGGAAATGAGGGTCGTGCTCTTATTCGACTTTTTAAGTTATTCTATGTTCGATAGGGTTCAAATCTGGAGAACAGGCTCGCCAGGTTAAGACCCTGATATTATGCTGTTGAACGTACGTTTGTACTGTGCGAGTGACCTGTTGACGGGCATTATCGATCATTAAAATAGGATTTTTCCTGATTTCATCCACATAGCCAGCGGCCGTTAAAGACCCTCCACTAACAACAACCAACTCTGTGCGACTCTCCATTGAGATTCCCGGTCACATCACCACTGAGTCATGTTGAAAAGGTTGGCTCTGGGAAAAATTACAGGCTTCGTACCTTTCATTCCGCCTTCTCCACACTCTTTCACGTATATCTTGAGATCGTTGAGCAAATCTACACCCATCTGTAAAAAGTACTACAGATCAATCACCCAAAGACCAATGTGTTCTCGAGCAAATGTGAGCCGTGCGTGCATTCTGGTCAATTCTGTTCCTCTTACCAAGCCATCAGTCCATACTGGTTTAACCTTCTTCGAGCATTGCGTTCAGAAATTTGGACACCTCGAACTTCTTGAAGCTGATGAATTGCTTGAACGACAGTAAGGTGCCGGTTTCGCAGAATTCTCAAAGTCGAAAAACGATCATCCTGTGGTCCTGTTACCCTAGGGCGTCCAGAACTGCGCCTTCTATAGTAGGACCCAGTTTCTCGAAAATATCTAGCGGTGTTTCGTATTGTTTCGTAGGGAACTCCGATTACAATAGACGCATACCCGATGGAACCTCCATCGTAAATAAGTGCCACTGCACGCGCAATATCCTCAGCACTAAGTGGCATTTTTAAGTTTAAAAATTGAAATTAAGGCAACAAAGATGAAAATTAAACAGTTTATTGAATCAGAATGATGAAATGAGACTAAATAAATATTTTAAATTTCGTAAAAAGTAAACATTGAAAAATAATTTATACTTATTTTGGAATAAGGATTAAGTGTGTTTATCCTTTAATTGATATTCCCAAGTTAAAACATACCGTAAACAAATATTCATTAATAAAAACAATGAGGGCATAATTAAGGGCAGAATTTTCTTTTTTTCGAGAAAATGAAAAGATCAATCAGGTGGAATTTTTTGCCTGTCAGTGTAATATGTAATAAACTACTATAGTTATAAACTAACTATAGTTACTGTATATAAACAACAACAACTTTTTCCCAGAAGTCATATCAATAATAATTTGAACAATTTGGAATTATACATATTGATTTAAAACCATTATGATACATTAATATTTAGTTAAGTTTATATATACAGGTGTCTTTAAACAGACGTATACTTCAGAAGATAGCACTACATGTCAAATTGTATTAAAACTTCCTTTTTGTCCAAAATCTGGTTCTCAATTATCTCCGGGATATTTGACTTTTCATGTTAATTCAACCGTTAACAACTCCCAGAAACTTATAATATTAATCCTGCTGTTTGCTACGTATCACTTTCATTATTTTTAATAGAAGTTGCAAAATGTTATTGACTATTTTTTTAAACCATATGTAACCGAATAATAATTTTTTTAGCAATTGAATGTTAATTTTGCATTGTTTGATCTTTGTGAAATTAGGTTAAATTAAAAATATCTGTAAGTGCAGCACCTAGCATTACTTACAAAACCAAGACAAATAGTACTTAAACTTTAGGCAAAAACTTTGGAACCGCGAAAAGATTTACTTTTCAAGTGATTTTGTATTTTGTTCGATTAAGGTTACAACAAGAAATGAATCTCATAGGACAATGACGTTTTTATTAGTAAAATCAAATTTACAGTACGATTAACATTTCATGAGAAACGGACTTGATTGAATAATGTTCTGAAAGATTGAAATAACCTAAAAAATGAAATAACTTGAATATAATTCAGAATCAAACTTTGGACAATAGAGACTTCTTAGTTCAATTAGAATAACCTCCTGGCTGGGTGGTTAATTGTGAAAATAATTTATTATTCAATAGCAGAATTTTTAATTGATCAAATTTCATCCAGTACTTTATAAACTAATAGACTGTATTTTTCTTTTTTAAAATATTTTACTGTAAACAAATAATGTTAACTTAATGTTAACTTTAAGCATCATTAATAAATATAATGGATCTTTGAAAGTAATGTCAAAAATATTTTGTTGTATACCAAGAAAAATCCTTGTACAAAAGCCACTGATTTCTGAACTCTTTTAACATCAACCTTTTCATGCTTAAGTTTGCATTTTTCTAAGAAGTGAATCGTCGAACTGAAAAAAGAAGCCCACATGACGGCCAATGAACGATCCGCCATGCCATGAATGTCAATTCGACTATATACAAAGTCATGTTCACACAAAAAGTTACTTATTTTTGAAAAGGCTTGAAACATTCATGGGTTGGCGGTTAGGTGGTCGATAGTTTAAGTTTGAAGTGGGAGAATGCGCAAGTGAAGCTCCGCTAAGTCCCACGTAGTTTTCTGCTTTGCCAGTAGAACTCAGCACCACACAAAGTAGAATGTTAGCAACAGACACGGGCATACTTTACTGCTTATGCTTAATCATGAAATAGAGTACTATGACATAATTTCTTGCCTTTTGTACACATCCACTAGAAACACCCTTTGCACGATGGACCGATTAATGTTTTATATTTTCCCTCACAGAATTACATTTAAAAAGCAAAACTATGTTGATGAGAAGCTAATTATATTTGCATTGAGATAAATCATAATTGAGTGATTTCCATTATGCATAACATTTTAAAAAATCTTAGCTTATCTAATCTGAATCTCTTAATCTTATTTTTAAAATTATTCATTCATATTACAGTTTTAATAATATTTTATATACAATGAACGTTTTTAATGAACTGTATATTTTAAACTCAAAGAACCTTCCATACATGAAACATTCATGAGTTTAAAAAAAAGTTTGCCATTTTCCCTTATATATAAACATAAAGTTTAATATATGTTCATTTTCAAACCAAAAACGTATTTCAATATATTAAATTTAATAAATAATATATAATTCTCGTCTGATATTTAAAAAAGAGGATTTCGTTTGTAAATTTACATTTATTTTATTTAACTTTAAACAACATTTAGAAATGAAACGGACTTTTCTTACTTATTTCTTTATTCAAATTAAAAAAAAACATAACAAAGTGTATATAAGTTAATTTTGTATAATATGTAATTATTTATAATATATTTAAATGGTGTGATAAATAATAATAAATTGTTCTAATATCATTAAATTGGTACTGGTGGTAATAAATACAGATGCTTGAATTTGTTGAAAAATACTGTGCAATATAAAAATTTGATTGGGAGAATTTTTTAAAAATTTGTAGAGAAAGTAATTTCAATTTCATGTAAACTAATTAATTTTTAATTTATAATTAACTACTGATTTTTTAGCTTAAAAGAAACTGAAAAATATATGTATTTCCATTTATTTTTATCATCTTAAAACCTACTAATAACCAGTAATGTTTATGGAGGAAAACTACAGTTATTTATAAAACGCATAATTATATGAACTTTTTTATAACAATTGGTGGAATGTTTTAGGCTAGTATTATAAGCGTAGAAAACGCTAATTAATTTATTTTAATACAGATGTTGAAGTTATTAAATTAAAAAAAGAAAATGCCGAATATTGTTTTCTTAAATAGTTAAATTTGATCATTTCAGCAATATTGGTCAGCTTCAATAAAAGTTGAACTTGGTAGCTTCAAAGGGCTATCACGAGATGGGGTGAAGCTCTCTGAAAGCCCCTTTGGCATGTTGTACAAAATTTATAGGAGAGCTTTCCGTTAAATCCCTTCAACTTCACAACCTTTGAATCAATTAACAGACATCGATAAATTTTTATGACATGCTCAATTTTATTTAAGAAGGCCCAACATTGAATCAAGGGTATGATCTGTATTATAAAATAAAATCCGCGATTTTCATTAAAGGTTTTTGATTAAAGAGTTAGCCACGGAATTAGTTAATTTTTTCGGCAATGCTACAAAATGTGGGATTTTTTTGCCCAAGTTGACACAAACGGGTTAAGTTGCCTTTGCACTTAGTGCTCACAAAGCAGAAAAATATCACGTAGCCGACATATTTCTTTCTCAATTCGCAGTTCTCGCGGAAAAATACTCGGCTTTGTTTATAGTGTCATACTTTAGGAAGTAATAAATATCGACCTAAAACAAACATGAAAAGTATCCAGATACTTTTGTTTTTATAGTTATGATCAAAAAAAAAAATTCCATTTATTACGACGGAATACTGAATAAACAACTACATAAGTATAAGAATAGATTAATAGCTTTGTTTTAAGTCTCTAAAGGTTTTTT